TAGATATTTACTATAATCACTGGTAATTTATTGCAGTGTCAAATTATTAGTGTTTCGGTTTTAAATCAAGAAACAAAGCAATATCTTATTTCTAATTTGAATTTATCTGGTTTCTTCTTCCATACACTTGTTTCCTTTCTCTTCTAAGCTACAGTAGTCATTTGTACTCGATCAAATGGCTTTGACTGTAGTCAAGATACTGATCTCTCTCTTTTTTACAAAACTTGACAAGTCAAGCTCTTACTGACTTACTCTCCATAATGCACTTTATCCAGCCCTTGGAGGCTTGGGGTTGTTTTGGTTTGTTTTTCTTTTTAATACCTCTTTTTCAGTTGCTGTTTGTTGGTTTATTATCCTATTTAGAAAACAGGCAGCAGAACTGTAGTTGGTATCAGAATCAGTGAGATGGAGGTCACCTTCCTATTGCTGTGCTCACTGGAGGTCATTGGTCCTCTTTCTACCTCGCAACAGTGGAGCTCATGTTTGTTACTTCTGTATTAAACCTTTAAACCTCTGAAAATAGAGCATCCCTTGCTGTCTGTGGATGCTTCTTGTTTCAGTCTTCAGCTCCATTTTCTTTGAGTGAAGAGGACTCAGCTTAACAGTTAAATGACATTGTTTATGAGGTCTGCCCTCTTTTCTCAATCTTTCTGTCTTTTCCCTTTCCAACATTCTTTCTATCATCTGTAAATTTATCAACATTAATTTATGAAAGCTTCTACATCACAGATTATGATATTGAATAACTTTGTCTTAGTCTGATCACAGAGGAAATCCACCAGAAACATACCAAGTGATGATTTCCTATTGTTAGCTTCTCCATGAAATCTTTATTTTGGCAGCTCTAACTCCTCCTAAATTGATGTCATTAATATAGTAATATAGCATTAATTACAAGCAGAATAATGTAATATAACACAAATATTTCAGTAAAGGCTAAGAAAATTATCTTTACACAGATACATTTGCCAGTTAAATGTGTAATCTCAGGAATAATGGAAGTACATTTTCTACATTTTTTCCTTTAAAATCTATCAATTAGTATAATTACATTTTTTCTTCTCTGAAACTCATGTGAATTTTTTCACTACTTTGCTTGTTGTCATTGTAACTGTAGTCAATATTTTCCAGGTCAACCCACTTGCCATTTTTAAACATGACTGTGACACTAGCACATATTTGCATTTCCCCAGACAGTTTCTGGTTTATTAGAAAATGAATGCCATGGGCCAACAAGTTCCTTAACAAATTTTTTATGGCTCCTAGGCACAATTTCTCATGGCCTAGTATTATATTGCCAAAATACTCCATAGTACTTTTTTATCCCATGGGATAAAAATGAGAAAGACATATACTTCAGTCTGCATCACGGATGGGAGTCAGGAGGTTGGCCAGCTAGATGCCAGTGGGGAAATTAGACTCGGGAGCTGGTTTTTGTTGGTTTGTGTATTTGTTTTATATCTGAAGCTGACTTTCTGTGGAGTTTCATGGAAAGAATGCAGAAGCCTAGAGATATTTTAAACTGACTTGCACTATTTTTGAGTAAGTCAGAAAATCCTTTAATAGCTCAAAATGCAAGGGAAAGGCTTTTGTGTATCTAAACCAGAGCCTCCAGTAAACTGTCAGCTTCTGTGGCTGTTAAGGTCTTTTCCAGAGCTGCACCAGTTGCAATGTCTAAGTGGAAGATCCCAGTCTTCATGTTTACTCCAATCATGCACTTTGTGACAATGCTTTAAAGACTGTCCATGGGCTGGTTCCTTAAAAACAGGTTGGGGGACAAAATGGATAGCAAATTCTTTTAGTTGACTGAGATTTCTGAAGTGCCAGGATTCAGAATACCCAGCTGGATTAAACAGTCCAGGCTTTCTTGCAGTTATGTGAAAATAAGCTTATTTCAGGTCATGAAGGTTTTTTGAGAGGAAATACCAAATACTTCATTGAAAGACATTTGGACTTCTAGCCCCGGGAATTGACTGTAGCTCTAGATCACAGAAGAGAGGCCTGTTGGGGAGTTTCCTGTCCTTATGAAATCTCATCAAGTTTTGCCTGTTGTTGGTTTTTTTTTTTATGGTTTTATAAGAAAATGAGGTTTCTACATCATGCGCTCTCTCAGCATCCCCTTATACTCCTGACCCAGCCTTGCAAACACTTTTTTGAACCATTTTGAACCATTGAACCATTCACACTAAGTCCTAGTAGTCCAGAGCTTCATGAAAACTAGTGGCTTAATAAAGGAGTATGACCCAAATTATCTTACTTCCCCTTCACTTCTCCACTGAGGGCAGAATACCGGCACTGCATCTCATGGTACCACCATGAGCGATCTCCAGTTACTTTGTATGTGCTGTTCTAGTGTAGTTTCTGGGGAGCATGAAGAAGTGGAGGGAAATAGGATGCAGATTACTGCTGCAGTGGGCTGAAAGTCGGAACAAGATGCAGCCCTTGAAAAAACAGACTTCTTTCATCTTCCTTCTCACAAAATAACTTCAACACATATAAATATTCTTTTGAAGGGAGTAAGACTGACATTATTTCATGAGAACTCTGCTTCCAGTGGAATAAGCCAAATGCAGCTTTGATCAAACCTCTGCCAGGGCTAGATTCTAAAAGCAAAACCAACAGAATGCACATGGCAAGGGGAGGATCGTCATGAGAAAACCCTAGGATTTGCTTCTATATTTTAGTATAACTGTGGGGAATGACTTACTGTTAGGGTGGAATGTTTTTGTTTGTGCATGCTGCATAGGAAGTGTTTCTCATAAGGTGTTAACTTATATTGCAGCAGTATGCTGTATGGACATGCAACAGCAAGAGTGGTGAGGAATGATCCTATGTCACATTAATCTTCAGGGAGCTGAGGAAGGGCTTTTGAGCGGGTAGAAAACTCCAGCAGAAACTAAAGTAAATGCTGCTTAGTTCCAGTCCCTTAATGATCCAGTTATCCTTACAAGCCAGACTCCTTCCCTGCAATAAGGTGGCCAGAGATCTCTTTCATATGTATGTGTCTTTGTTCCATAGTTTATGTAGTTTTGCAGTAACGTTTTTAGATTCTAATGTGTGATCTTCTCTAATCATGTTATATAGATTTATACAAATTCTTAGACTGGAAGTTATCTTTGGCTTGCTCTCCAATTGTCTCTTTAAAGAGCAGAGACATGTGAATTTATATTTGCTAGATGCCTGCAAGAATACTTTTCTAGTGTCCCTCCTCCATTTGGAATGGAACTGTAGCTCGTGACATTTTTGGCTCAGCCTGACTCATGGAAAGGAGTTGCCTCAGGGAAGGCACGTGGCTTTTCTTTTTACCCTGTGGTTGGTTGAGCACAAGCACACATGAGTGAGGGGTCAGTGCTCCTCTTCTGAGCTAGTTTTCACATCATTTCTCAGGGGGAAAATAGTCATTATTTAGAGCTTCTTGAATTTGTGGAGGATGAGGAGGAGGGAAGAATTAATTTTCTTCTAACCCTTGTGTGTGTCTGGCAAACAAAATTTGCTGGGAACCATTTGAATTTTTTTTTGTAAGATTTGTCTTGAATAATAAGATCCAGTTTTACAATGAGGGAAAATCTGAATGCCAAAAGCATAATTGCCTTGTCAGAACTGAAGTCTAGTCTCCAAAGGGAGTCAGTAAACTCCCAAAGTTCCTCCAATAGAGGGGTGTTCCTTTCAAGAACCTTTCAAGGTCCTTTTCAAAGACCAGTGCCTGTGCCATCTCCCACATCACAGAGGATGTATTTGATGGAGAGCCTGGGATCAGGAACTGTGGAAGGCAGAAGACAGCCTCCAGTTAACATAAAGAGAAGGGTGGCAAGCAACAAGAATGCTGGGAAATTTCCTTACGTCTCAGGACTCGGGGGAAGTGTCTGAAAAAGATCATCTATCCAATCTTGTCATTAGTTAGGAGAGACTGTGAGAAAGCTAAATGGAGGAAGGGGGGAAGTTCTTACTGTGGCTGAAATAAGTGGAGGATGGAGGAATTCTGGACAAGCTAACAGCAATGGATGGAAGTGCACAATGTCTCAGGCTGTGTTTAAGGAACAGGCCAGGCCCACATTTCACCCTCACTTAATGAGGGATATTTGGAAGGGGAAGTTCTGGAGTATTTTAATTGGGGCTCTCCCCAGAGAGCAAAGTACTTTGTAGTTCCAAGCAGTGCAAGTGAATGTAAGGATTAGGTAAACCACAGTTCTACTTCCTCATCCCCCAACTACTGGGAACAGCTTCTGTTTTGGTTCACAGAGTTTTATTTTTTAAGAGGAAATGTATTTCCCTTGGGTCATACTAATCTTCCCTTCCATAACTACAGAGCTTATGTCGCATCCTGTTTCTGCAAAGCCAATGAAATAAAATTTTGCTTTTTTGTTTGAAAATAAAATGATTTGTTGCTGTGACAAAATTGATTGCCACTGATATATTGCACTTTTTAATGGATGTTTTACAATACCAGACACCTGTTCCTTAAGTAATTCAGATAAAAAGAAAATGTTTCTCACTGCCATTTTTAGACTTGGGCACTAAGCTGAAGTTCTACTTTCACACATGTGTACTCATGAGAGTGCTAGAGATAAGGCTGAATCAACATATTGCAGATGGTCACTTGACAGAAGCCTTCTTATTTACAGTCCTACACTACTACACTTTTGGAAAAAGATCATCTGAGTGAGGACTTCCTATCCCTGCTATAAGACAAAGAACAGCAGCAGAGATTCTACTTTGGGTCTTATCTACCCTCATCCATTAACCACTTTAGGGCTGCAGGGACAGCTTTGAGTATCCTAGGTAACAGCAATAAGATTCAGTTTATCAATGTGTTTTTATTTTATTTAGCTTTAACAAGGTTCTAATTCTGATGTTGAATTTTTAAGGACAAAACATCTTTTTCTAGCAGTGGTCATCTGTAGTAAAGGATTGGATCATTTGACACATTTTTCTTAATAGCACTAAGGTTTTTGTGAGCTGCAACATTAACATCCATTTGATCTCTCCTTCCTTTGTATTAGGGACACTGTGTTCACTTACCATTGAGAAGGCCATGCCTGAAGATGGAGGCGAATACAAATGCATAGCTGAGAATGCAGCAGGGAAAGCTGAATGTGCTTGCAAAGTGGTGGTAGAAGGTAAGTACTTTGCTGGATGCAGGAAAACCCTTCCTTAGAACCAGCTCCTCTCCCCCTTTTCTGTCCCTTCTCTTCTGCATTTTTTGGTCAATACGTAATTCAATGTCTACCGTAAAGGAGCACGAGCAGAGAGACCGTACAGAGCCAAAGGCTCTGACTGCTTTGTGGAATAATCTTTGTTCTCCTGCTGCCCACTGTATTTCTATAAGGTTTTTAGAGCAGTTGAATGCGTGAAGATTTACTTGGGAGCTGTATGCATTCTTTAAGAGCATGTAAGAATTTAGTGTGTGAGCGTGGGTACCAGTCTGCCTCAGGACATTTCTCAGTCTAGAACTTTTCAGTTCTTTGCATTCACTGACCTTTGGTCATTTGGTTTTTCTAGAGTGAGAAAAAATAAACAAATTAGCAGCTTAGCCACCCTTGTATGTCACAGTCTTAGAACATGGATAATTTGCTGACTGAGGTACCCATTTTCAGCCTCAGTCGTGCTGATGACACTGTACTCTTGTTAAATAGTCTTGGCCTTGGGCAAATATTTTGTTATGAGTTTGAGAGCACAGACTTTTAAAACTGTCATAGACTGTAAGTTACTTCAGGGACTTTAAGTAACCAAAAGAGCTTCTTATCAGCTCATCTTATGGTGAGCTCATCCTTGAACACTCTGATATTTTTCATTTTGACTAAAAAGAGCATAAAGCTAAACAATAAGCCAGATAACATAGACCTTGGGTACTTAGCCTTTACAACTATGTTACAGATGTGCTGCTTGGGCCAGGAGATCTAGAAAAGAAAACTGTTACTTGTTTTCCTAATGTAGCATGCCACAAGGTAAGGGTATGATCCTCTAACTCTATCAGTAAGGGTCACTCTTCATGTAGCTGGAGAAGGAATTAATTATACATATAATTACAATTAATTATACTAATTCCTGTAATGGCACCTTCTGTGATACTATGGTCACAACATAGCCTGGCTTAGATATTTGATAAACTATTGTTAATATTTCTGTAATTTAAAGTAATAAATTTTACCAGCACTGAAGTCCAAAGAAGACTATCAAGAAGAGGCTTTAAGCAAAATCTAGTACCCTGTAACACCTTAACTACCACAGATGCAGAGTGTTAAAGGATCAGATCAGCACATGCTTAGCACACAGTAGTTCTCCAGTCCTGCCCTAGCATCTTTTAAGTGTATCAGTCACCTATATGTTTTTTCCTTTGCTTCCAATTTCCTGCTGGGCAATGCGTGTTCTAGGAGGCTGAAGGTAGGCTTTGGCTTTCAATTTTGGCTCATGGGAGGCTGTCAGCTCATGACATATTCATTGCATGATGATGTGAATAGCGTTACATAGCTGTCTGGCTCACTCTGGTAGTGACACCCATGGCGTTAGGAGCTCACTGCTCATGTAATGTTGGACACCAGAATGACCACATTCCTTATGTTAATACTGGCTGTCTCATCTGTCTTTTCCATTCTCTACTGGCATGCTGCTTAGTATGGCTGAGAAGAGGTTTTTGAGGAATGGCACCACAGCAGACTCCAACTATTTAGAAGAGGTGCCATTTGATATTCCATGTCTGTGACTGGCAGAGGGGATGACTGTTATTTTTAAATTAGAATTGTGATCTAAAATGACAATTAAAACTGCTCCCTTCTACTCAGTCTGCTGTCAGCATCCCAGGTGCTGATTTTTAGACTCAACAAGTCATAAATATCATTATATTCATTTTGGTCCCATGGACTCAGATCAGATTGGAGGAATGTTTCACTTCAGTTGTCAAATTAGTTCAGGGACAAATCTGTAGAATCAGATCTAGCACCTTCTTCTCCAAGAAGGAGTTTGGTAAGACAGTCTATCTTCTCCTGTTAACTTTTTAGGAAATTTGGAGAGATTAACTTTCACACTTTGGAACTTAGAAGTGACTGAAATAGGTGATTTGGTAAAATTTATGTTATCTTTTCTCTGGTAACTAAATTTCAAACACCTATCTCATGCACAAATTCTCTGAAAGCTGAATATTTGAAAGCTATAAATTGATACAGCTATTGCTGAGATCTTAACCCAGATTTGGGATCTTTCTTCCAAAGATAAATGTCAGGATCAAAGAATCTAGCAAGTGGAGCTCATTAGGATTTGCATTATATGACATGCTCGACCTGGGATAACCTTGCTGAAAAAAGGATGCACCTTGTAGTTATATGTGTCTGTGTCATATGGGATTCATGTGGGAGAGTTTGTATTGAGTCTTAGCTGTTGGTGGAGCCTGCAGTGCTGAGTAGTTGCTGAATATGAGCTGTACAATCTTGAGAATATGAAATGCATCAATCTTGAGTCCTGTGGTGTCTCTTCTGCCATTTTTATTTAGGAATGAACCAATGTGTAATAGTATTCTCTTGGAAATATTTGAACATACAGAGGAACTGCTACTTTTCATAATGTGTTCATCTATATAGATCACAGAGACAATGGAATAGGATGACATGGCAAGAGATCCTTTCGGATGAAATGATGCTTCAAATATGCCTTTGTTTCCCTCTTCTATGCACTGCGTAAAGCAGCTTTGTGCACATTGTACATTGTTCCATTCAGTTAAAATAGACCCATCAGTTTAAATGGTGCCTCTCGTCTAGTTGCTTTCTCAAGGTTCTCGGTGCTGCTTTCACAGAGGGCTTCTCCCTCTCTGATCCCTCTTCCTTTTAGAATGTGATATTCTACAGCAAGTCTGTGCAGAAAAACTTCCTTAAAAACCAAGAGACAGTAATTTCCTCTAACTTTGCAAGAAGTTCCAGAACAGATGTTAATAGGCAGCTTTTTCATTATTGATTTTAAAATAGGATATGTGTTTTATTATTTTTTTGATTGCAGATGCCTCATCCACAAAGACCTCAAAGCCTACTGAGAAGAAGACCAAGAAGCCTAAGACCACACTTCCCCCTGTACTGCCAACAGAGAGTAAGTGACAGTGATTTTGATTACTTCATTTTCAGTGGAAACAAAAGAGTGCTTTGGGATTCTGTGGTCGTTCCCTTTCTGTTTGCAGGCACAGTATCAGAAGCTTGTGCTGTTTCTTTAACCCTTGCACATAAATTGTGTGAAATGATTTTTTTTTGCCTTGTGGGGATTAGGAGTAAGTGCTGAAACTGTGAGTTCAGACCTAGCCCACTCTTTTCTGTTTTCCGTAATGGTGCAATAAACTTACGACACGGATTTATTTTTGGCTGCCTCCCAAAGAGCACAAAAATTTTCAAGTAGTTTGCTTCAAGACATGTGTCCCATGTAGACAACATACTGTGTTATCATTGGTAGGCAAGGTGTCTTGACTGAAGTGTCCTGTAGCATAATCTGTCCTTTTTTTCATGACCATGTAGAGTGATTTGGTCAATTTTACATTGCTTGTTTTAAGCCTAAATGCTTTACTTGCTTTTAATGCTTTCTGAAATATCAAATCAGCTATAAATTTCCATACTATTTACACTGCATACATGCATTTGATTAACAGGAAGCTTTAAACGGTAAAGGCAGAACAATAGTGTCAGTTTAGAAATTCGTAATACCACTACAGCTTTTTTTGGGGGGGATACAAGTATCTCTTAAGTCAAACACTGGACTTTGAAAGTTGTCTGTCTAAGATGTCCATCATGTGAGTTCCTAAAAAAGATGTAAAGACATGGTTCTAATGGAAACATTAAATATTTTATCCAATGTTGTCTCAAACCATAATCTGATTTTCATGCATGGAATATTTTTCAGCTGCTTTCAGCAGGACTCAGTGCAGTTTTGTACTAATTGATGATCACAGGTAATAATGGTGCTTCTGGTCTTGTTGACTAACATAGAGCTGTGCCCTGGGCTACAGCTATTTCTGGGCTAAGCATTATAACTTTCCCTCCAGCCAGTCATTTGGGAATGTGAGAAGGCTCACACCAACATGCTCCACCTCTGCATCTGAGCTTCAAATGCTATAAATAATAGCAATTAAGAACAATCATTTTGTTGTTGAAGATCAATAGAAAATAAACCTTTAAAGCCATTTGAAGCTACACAGGATAATGTTGAATAGAGTTTTCTATGCACACAGATGCATATATTTTCTCTGATCCTCTCAGCAGTGTTATCAATTCCAGCTTTCCCAGGAGAAAGTGAATTGGGAACTAAGTATAAGTATGTGGATATATGACCTGATCTACATCCTGCTGAAATCACTCGTCTTGGTGTTGATTGTAGTGGAAATTGGATATAGGTAGCCAAACAGAACCTAGCAACTGTGACTTCAGAAATGATTGGGAAAAGAAGGTTAAAATAATGGTGAATGGTTTTCTTAAGGTTGCTCCATGGCATATTATATTAGTGTTTAGTGTTTAAAATTCTTGAACTTCTCATAAGCTCTTTTTTTTCAAAATACCTTTAAAACATCTTTCCTGTTGCATTGAAAACATCAAGGTAACCAGAGAGAATATTAGGAAGCTGGACTTTGGAAGATCTTTTGGAAAAGTTTGGGGAAAATACATATTTAATTTTAAAAGGATTTGGCTGCAGAGATTCCACAGGTGTTTTTTAACATGAGCCTCAGTATCAGGATTGAGGGTATTTGTCTGCCTGAAATGACTGTTATATTTGTATGTTTGTCAGGGGCAAAATACACAAAACTGATCCAGTAGACTTCACAGTTTCAATTTAAACTGAAATACCTTTCAGATGTAGAGATTTTAAAGTTCTTTACCGGAAAGAGAATGGTCTTAACAAGTCAGATATTTATGCATCTTTACTGTATTTCTCTCAAAAAGAAGTTTAGTAAAAAATGACTGTGAATTAAGATGTCCCAATCTAATAAGTGGATAAATTTTTACTCTGATCTCTTCTAGTCATGCCACATCAACTCGCCAACAGTCTTAACAGCAAGTAGAGTGTAAGAAATGATACTGAAGAAATAGAAAAAAAAAATCCTAAAAATTTCACTGAACAAATTCTGAATTTTGAATAGTGAATTCAGTCACAACGGTATTTACTGTGTGGAGTAAATAAGCTATATACTCTCTGTCATTTTTAGAAATACTTCTCAGAGGAAAAAATACATATTTTCCATTTTCTGTAAGGAAGTGCAAGTCAAATTTCATGGTTAGCAGATACATCAACCTTCTCTCCTTCAGATGAATTATAAGTGAACCTTGGTTTTTGCTCTGGTAGAAACTTTCAGGAGAGTAATTAACTTTTAGTTCTGGAAAACAAAGACCAATGTGTTTCTTTTTGTGAAAAAGAACGAATGCTGTCAGTATGTCAATCTGTAGAATTTGTCTCATTGTGAGAATAGTTGCTGATCCAGATCACTTGACTGCTCATTCTGACAATGTTATTTTATTACTGGAAGCTTGGATTTTGTAAGGCACAGAAATCCAATAGTAAGTAAAATTTTGGTCACTACTTCTTCTGAAATGCAATACATACTAGACTCTGGTTTAAAATAAGCAGTTATTCTCAGAAAAACATCTATGGAGGCAGCTTTGTAGCATTCAATGTTTAACAATGTCTCTGAATGGATGCTTGCAGTGTTTACGTGCAGAAAAATTGCTCCCATGCTAGCAAATTAGGAAAATTATGATGTATTTCTTTTTGCTTGCAATTAATATTCTGTCACCAGAATTTAGTAATAATTATGACTCTGCAGAATGCAACTCCGTAACGATAAATATAATAACTAATAATGTTTCTGAGAATAACAAACACATCCAGCTTTGAATCTGAGTGAAATCAATCCCGAGGAGGAGTGGAGGAAGGATACCTCCTTTTTTAATGTTGACTTCGGTTCATTCTTCACTAACTGTACTGACTTAGGCTTTGTCACTGTGTCTTTGCTAGGTGGATATGAAATGCTACTGAGTTAGAATAAAAAAAATATTATGTTTCTTCTACACAGATATAAAAGACTAGAAGAGGCAGTGGAAAATTGGAACCTTTCATTATTTATCATGCTGCATATTCCATGCTATGCCAGAACAATAAGTGGATAGCATAAAGTTCTTCTAGTTTGACATAAGCCTGCAGCAGAAGTACTAAGCTCAAAAATTCTCACCACTTAAACACTTCTTTATGAAGCTTTGAAATCATCCACTGTAAAGGGATTTGGTTACCCAATTCCCATTGAAATCAGAAGTTACTTCAAAATAGGCTTAAAGGGAATTGCTTGTTTTAATTACCAAGGCCACCTGCAAAACCTTCGGTGCCTATTAAATAAATGTTTTTGGCCCAACAGACACTGGAAAAGCCAGAGTGCTGCTTGAGATTTTTAAGAGTAAATAATGTTTTGAAGGTTTATAAATAAATATTGTCTTTTTAAAAAAAATCTATTACTACTCCACACTTTATAATATTTTGTCCTCCTTAATGTGACTTAGGCTGAAGACGAAAACAGCAGTAAATCATAGCTGGAGTAATTAGCCCAAGATAAGGCAAATTCATTTGCAGGTCTAGAACACAACTTTCTTGATGCTCAGTGTTTGCATGTGGTTTGCAAAATACTATAGATTTTCTAAACTGACATCCCAAAAATTTGTGTAAAACATTAGTTTTCCAAAAGGATTTTTTTTTCAAAGTTTTTTCCCAAGATTTGTTGAGGAAAAAAGCATATTACAGCAGTTAGATGGTATTCTTCAAACTTCACCAGGGCTGAGCTGTGCAACATAACTTTACTATAGTAGGAAGAAACTCCCATCATTGCTACTGAGGAAAGAAGTGGCTTTAATGCTTCAGAAAATAACCCTCCTAAATCTAAGCATTGGATTAAAGTGTTTGGAAAGAAATGCCCACTGTTTTTTGTAGAGCTAATTCACAGCACTACTTTCAGTAAATATTAAGAAATGGCAACTGTCACCTGTCATAATCAGTGGTATGAAAACCTAACAGGATATCCTGGATTCCCTCATCTGAGTAACACCTGTTAAACCCACTGTTCTCATGTCCAAACCACACACATTGAAGAGATGACCCAGCACAGTTTGATTCCACAAATATAAGTTCTTCTGCTCAGTTAAAAATAAAGTTACATCAAAGAACTTCCTCCTCACACCTTCAAGTAAAGGAGACCAAAGTATATTATTTAGCAGTATTTGGTATCTTGCTGATATAAATCTTTTATATCTGCTACTATATAAAATGTTTACTTTCATGTCAAATGCATTTTTGGTTAAGTAACGATGCATTCTCTTGCTGACAGTTGTTAATAAAATGTTGCCACTGACACTGTCCAGATCAAATCCTCTGGAAGGCTGCACTGTTATCTTCCCAGATCTGATTTCTCAACATTATTAGTACTTGAATGCAAGGCTGAGCAGTGGCATCTCTGAAACAGTATGTCATAGAAGTAAAAATGTCAGCCAAGACTCCTTATCATGCTATATATTCTTTTTCATAGGGGGGGGGGGGGTTTCTAAGCGTTTTAATTACCATGGAAAAATTCTGAGTCAGTGGCCAAGTAATTAGCATGAAGTTCTGTTATTTACTCTTCAGTAAACAAGCTTATCAGAGAATCCAAGTCTGCAAGCATAATTTTAAGAAAATGTCATTAAAACATTAAACGATATGTCTAGTTTAGATAATACATAACAATCAGTAAAAATGTCAAGGGTTTTGTTGATTTCCATTCTATTAATATGATATGAAACACAGCACTGATGAATATAAAATGTTTCAAAATCTTAATTTTAGGTCAGATTGCTTTGTCCTCAGTATAAAACTTTCCAGTTTCTAAGGGAAGAACTGAGTTACTAAGGAAGTAACTGATCAGGTCAGAGATGTCCTTTTAATTGCAGCCATAAGAGCACTGTGTAGCAGCTGTGATCTGGTGACTGTGCTGCTGCTGTCCTCTTTGGTCCCTGAAGGTTAGTGAGGCTATTTGAACCAGTTCTCTCAGTCCCATTCATTTGCCAGAAGGTCCATGCAACTTTACTCCTGCAAGCACC